TGCATGAGAGATCATAGATCTCAAGGAATCTTAAAATGTTCTTTTTTAAAAAGCACAGTTTTTTTAAGGGACAAGGTTATTTCACAGTCCAGTCCCCCTCCCTGTCATGTCAGCTGCTCATTTATAAATTACTAATTTCTCTTTTTTTGACAGTGGTATTATTCAGCACGACTTGATTTTCTCCCTTCAACAAACAGAATGTGTCCTTAAACCAGTTGAAACTTCAGATATGAAAATGACTCAGCTATTCACCAAAGTTGAATCAGAAGATACAAGTAGCCTCTTTGATAAACTTAAGAAGGAACCTGATGCTTTAACTTTGCTGGCCCCAGCCGCTGGAGACACAATCATATCTTTAGATTTTGGCAGCAATGGTGAGTATTTAGTTAATCTCTTAAACTGTACCTGATGATAAAAGTCCCATTTCTTCCTTTTTTAAAAGAGTCAGGGTGTCAGTGTGTCACTCATGTTAGAATGCAGTGGCATGATCTTAGCAGCCTTGAACTCTTGAGCTCAAGCAATCCTCCTGCCTCAGCCTCTTAAGGGGAGACTACAAGTGCTCACCACTCATTCAGCTAGTTTTTCAAAATTGTTCATAGAGATGAGGTCTCACTGTGTTCCCCAGGCTGGTCTTGAACTCCTGGTCTCAAGTGGTTCTCCTGGCCCAGCCTCCCAAAGTCCTGGGATTACAGGCATGAGCTTCTGTGCTTAAGTATTTTTGCCCCTGTTATAGAATGTTAATGTTTTTTAACTTGCTTTTTAAACATTGCTGAAAATTGTGCTTCAAAGTGTCTTTACAGTATTTATTAAATTTTTTTCTATGTGGGATGGTTGATCTTGGCCTATTATTTATATCAATAGGACAAAAAAAGTTGAATTTGGGCATCTAAAGAGAATAGTACTACCTGTATGCTCAAGGTAGCGCCAGCCTATACTTTTGAGTTGGAGAATTGTCATGGGAAAAGGCCTTGTAAATTCTTTGCCCAATCTAGTCCAATTTCCATCACTATTTTGAAATTTTGGGTAAGTATAACATGAAAATATTAGGTCTTACCACAAGCTGGCCCCAGACTTCTCCATGTCCACAGTTCTTACATGTCCAAGGACAGGGAACAACAGTCACGCCTTTATAGGACGGACAGTATTTCTTCTTCCTGCATAAATTCTTACTAGCTACTCTGCTAACTCTGTATCCTGCTGTCAAAATTTCTCCACAATTTAGCAATGTTATGTGGAAATAAGGTACAGTTGCATTAAAGGATAAGTAAGCAGTCATACCACAACATGAAATATGGAAAATAAAAACTGTAATTTTAAGATAGGTTAAATTTTGATTTATAAAAAGGTTGGAATTATAGGTCTTTTATGCCATATAAATGAATAGGAATTATTAATAATGGATTAGAAAGATAACGCAGACTTATAACTATAGCATAGGATCTGTAAACTTTCTGATGAAGGAAAATTTGGTAACGTTGTTTGATGAATTAGACAAACCTTTTGTTAAAAGAAGCGTAAATTTTTGTATGATAAAATCCTTATATACATTAGATTGACTAATTTTTTTCCCCCAGACACAGAAACGGATGACCAACAACTTGAGGAAGTTCCATTATATAATGATGTAATGCTTCCCTCATCCAATGAAAAATTACAGAATATAAATCTGGCAATGTCTCCATTACCTGCCTCTGAAACTCCAAAGCCACTTCGAAGTAGTGCTGACCCTGCACTTAATCAAGAAGTTGCATTAAAATTAGAACCAAATCCAGAGTCACTGGATCTTTCCTTTACCATGCCCCAGATTCAAGATCAACCAGCCAGTCCTTCTGATGGAAGCACTAGACAAAGTTCACCTGAGGTAGGTGTCAAGATACAATAACTAAAGTACAACTTTCAGATTTTAACATTCAAACTTTAGTGTGAACCACATGTCACATTTGTGTGTGTGTGTGTGAATTTTAGCACTTTAAAATTACTGCAAAAACATGTGCCTGTAGTCCCAGCTACTTGGGAGACTGAGGCAGGAAGGTCATTTGAGCCCAGGAGTTTGAGGCTGTGGTAAGCTATGATTGCACCACTGCACTCCAGCCTGGGTGACAGAGTCAGACCCTTCAACTCAGAAACAAACAAACAAAAGAACATGGGGAGAAACTGGTATAATATAAACCAAAAGGTGAAACTTAGATTGTTTCTCTATTATTTATATCAATAAGACAAAAAAAGTTGAATTTGGGCATCTAAAGAGAATAGTACTATTTGTATGCTCAAGGTAGCGCCAGCCTATACTTTTAAGTTGGAGAATTGTCATGGGAAAAGACCTTGTAAATTCTTTGCCCAGTCTGGTCCAATTTCCATCACTATTTTGAAATTTTGGATAAGTATAACATGAAAATATTAGGTCTTACCAGAATAAATACTTAATAACTAGTCTTTTTTTATTCTGGATCTATCTTGGTATTTTAATGCCCTATAAACACAATAAAAAATAGTCTTTATAAAAAAAGTCGAGGCTGGCCAAGACTAGAGGTAATCACATAGGGCTCTTTTTCTGACTCTAGAATAGTTCTTTTTCAGAGCTTCCTGCATCTCATATACTCAGGAGTAGTAGGTAGGGTAGCTTAGATCTGAACATTATAGCTTGATAAATGAGGCACAAATAAGCCTTAATAAAAGTGGTAAGTAATTCTACATTAACTATGTATTGATTAAAACTGACAAGCTAA